TTTATCAATTATGATTGAGTTTGATGAGACAACATTACCAGCAAACATAAAAATAGGTTATTTGAAATTTCAAGTTAGGCCTTACATCCCACCACCACTCCGCTGCTACAAGTGCCAGAGATATGGACACATTGCAGCAGCGTGCAAAGGTAAACAGAGGTGTCCAAAGTGTGGAGAAGACCATAGGATAGAAGAATGTAAAGAAGAAAAGGAGAAGTGTTGTAACTGTGGAGGACAACATAGAGTTACATACGGGGGGTGTGAAGTGAGGAAAAGAGCAAAAGAAATCCAACAGGTGAAAATAAGTAAAAACACCACATATGCAGAGGCAGTCAAAAGTGTCAAAGAACAAAAGACAAGAGCGACAGGACAAACAGAGAACCAGAACCCACAACAAAGTACCAGTAAACAGCAAACAGAGGAAAATATCACAATGCCAGTCGAAAACCTGATATTATTCATAGCATATGTCATAAACTGCACTGACCAGGCCAAACATAAAACAGAGAAAATTAAAATAATCGTGAGAGGAGCTGAAAAATTTTTGGGGTTCAAAGAGGGATCTTGGGAAAACATTAACAAAAGGTTGGAAGCTGATGGAAGACCAGGAACACCAGATGAAAATATATGATTATATTACAATGGAATGCTAGAAGTTTAATTGCCAATGGACAAGAATTTAAAGGATATATAGATGGACTTGATGAAAAACCAGAAATCATATGTATACAAGAGACTTGGTTAAAATCAAATTTGGAATTTGTTATCAAAGGATATAATAGCATAAGAAGAGATAATGGGTAATGGGTAGTGATCATTATCCTATAAAAATTACAATAAGCATAAAACCAGAGCAGAACACAGTAGAAGGAAATAGAAAGTTGCTATTTAATAAAGCAGACTGGAACAAATTCAAATATATTACTGATAGAGAGCTACAGAAAATTGATCTGTCAACAGACAGTAATAATGTTAATGTTTGTATATGCAAGATTATACAGGAAGCTACAGAACAGTCAATAAAAAAAAGGTGGAAGAACGAGCGAAAAGAAGATAGTACCTTGGTGGACAAATGAATGTAACAAAGCCATAAAGACAAGAAATAAAGCATTTAAAGCACTAAAAAGAAATCCTAGTTATCAGAACTTCATCGAATATAAAAGAAAACAAGCAATGGTAAGGAAAATCATCAAGAATGCAAAAAGGGAATATTGGAGAAACTTTTGTAATACTATTGGAAAAGAAACAAAAATTGAAAAAATCTGGAAAATGATAAAAAGAATGAATGGCATCAAAAAAGAATATGGATATCCAGTATTAAATGTAGATGGCAATGCAGTAGTAAACAATAAAGAAAAAGCTGAAATAATAGCAACAACATTTAGCAAAATTCATAGTTCCAATAATATTAGTAATGAAGGAAAGAGAGGGAGGGAAACTACAAAGTTAAAATACAAAGATTTAATGAAGAATATGGAAGAAACTGATAATTTATTGAACGAACCTTTTCAAAAAGCAGAACTAAATCGAGCACTCAGGAAAACAAAACAAACAGCACCTGGAAAAGATCAGATATGGTACACCATGATAAACCACCTTAGTGAAAAATCCAAAGAAATAATTTTAGAACTATACAACAAAGTGTGGGAAGAGGGGGAGCTACCACAAAGCTGGAAAGAATCAGTCATCATACCAATAGCTAAACCAGGAAAGGATCATACAAAGCCGGAAAATTACAGACCGATAGCATTAACATCAAATATATGTAAAATAATGGAAAAAATGATCAATGATAGACTAACATATTATATGAACAGTAAGGGATACATATCTAAATATCAAAGTGGTTTTAGAAAAGGAAGGAACACTAATGATGCAACATTACAATTAGAACACGAGATCAGGAGAGCACAGATAAATAAAGAAAGTGTGGTGGCTGTATTCTTCGACATAGAAAAGGCAGACGATATGTTATGGGCTGAAGGTTTATTAATTAAAATGTACAAACTAGGAATTAATGGAAGAATGTTCAGATGGATACAAAACTTTTTAACAAAAAGATCGATACAAGTAAGAATACAACAAGAATATTCAAAGAAATACTTTGTGGAAAATGGAACACCACAGGGAAGTATTATAAGTCCATTACTATTTTCTATAATGATAAATGATATTTTTACAGAGATTGAGAAGGGAATGGGATGTTCATTATTTGCAGATGATGGAACCATTTGGAAAAGAGGGAAAAATATAAAATTCACTGTGAAGAAAATACAAGAGGCTATATTAAAAATTGAGAAATGGGCAAATGATTGGGGATTCAAATTTTCAGTAGATAAAACAAAAGTAATGATATTTACACAGAAAAGAGTCAATAAAGAGATTAAATTGAAATTATATAATCAAGAACTAGAACAAGTTAAGTGTATAAAATATTTGGGTATATGGTTTGATGAGAAAATCTTATGGAATGTACATATACAAAAGATTATTGATAAATGTAAAAAAAATCATAAACATTATGAGATGTTTAGCTGGGAATGAATGGGGTGCAGATAGAACGGCATTAAAACAAATATATACGGGACTTATCAGATCAAATATAGATTATGGTTGTGTAATTTATGGATCAGCAGCAAAAACACATTTGGAGAAACTGGACAAAATACAATACCAAGCATTAAGACTATGTACAGGAGCATTCAAAACCACCCCAGCAGCAGCACTTGGAGTAGAAATGGGAGAAATGCCATTAGCAATAAGACGAGAACAATTAGCAATAAACTACTGGATCAATCTTAAAGGAAATAACCCAGAACACCCAACATTAGATATTTTAAAACCACGCTGGGAGACGGAGAAGAAAGAGACAAGAAGTTTTGGATGGACAATAGACCAGAAAACAAAAGAAATGCAAATAGACAACTTAGACATCAGCCCAGTAGTACCAGTACCAACAATACCACCATGGCTTCTTCCAAATGCAACAGTTGACTTGACACTCATGGACAAGAAAAAAGACAGAAGATTTATTTTTAACTCATATACAGTACAGGACCATATCAATAACTACTATAACTATATACAGATTTATACAGATGCATCAAAAACATCAGAGAAAGTAGGAGT